ATTTATGTGTTTATATGCCAAACACCTTCGTTTGCAGGCGGGAAAATTTTTGTTTCGCCGCTGAAGGTCAAACTTATTAATAGAAAATTAAATCATCTTAGGCGAAATTAAATTTTCATATACAAACACAGGCGCACGATGCTCGTAGGAGCGTTGTAAATCGCATTTGATGTGTTTATTTATTTCGTTGGCATCGCTGGCATCTGCCATGCCTGAGTTATCATAGCCGGGCGAAGCTTACCCACTCCCCCGCTTGGTCCCCATTGCATTCGCAATTACAGTTCGCAAATGCCAAAAATGTGGCCCCTTCAGCATTATGTCGACTTGAACTCGCTGCTGGTTTAATCAGCAGAAGACCAGCGATACAAAAGAATGCTCACAACGGAAGTTGGTTTAAGAAAATCTCTGTTAAGAATGGAAAATCGCACTGGTACACAAGTTCCCGAGTGTCGTTATGCGGGTGATGTGATTGAATCCCAACAGCGGATTGGATATTATCCATTACAGTGGGTCTAAAGTATGATAATCCTCATGGGGAAAGTCAGGTCACACATATTCAAAAAAAAACCAAAGAATACTAAATTGGTTCAGAAATTCATTTCTAAATTCTAATTTCCAAAAGAAATATTACTTGAATGAATTTGCCGAACATAATTCTTTTACCTAACTATGGGTCTGTTTTTGAATTCTTAAAAATATTTTCTATAAATAGGAGCCTACGAAATTTGGTTCTTTTACTTTCAAAAGCAATTATCCCTGGAATAACACTGTTCGATTAGAGAAACGTTTATAGAAAATGTACGCTAATTTAGATTTAGGCTCTATTATAGAAGTCATTCCCATGAATAGAAACAGACTGCTGCTGAGTCATTTTAAATACCTAATTAACACCACATGCCCAGTAACCAATTGATGTCAACCAACTTTTAGCAGCCACTGTCGTACAATCGTGTTGATCACTTAACAATGGCGCTGTTGCGGAGCCCTTCAGCAATTTGTGTTGCAATCGCGCGAGATGCAACTGCTGCTCAATTGCTGCGATCGCGATGGTCCAGCGATCGGGGACTGGCCGCAAATTGACTTAATGCTTGATTGCAAATCTTGGCGCTTTGTCGACACGTTGTGTTCACCGGCCAATTCTAATTGCTAACAAATGCTGTCGTGTTTTGTTCTTGTTTCTTGGCGGCGTGACTAAAACGCAGTGGGGCCCCCTTCTAACTCCCTCTCCCTTCGATTGACTTGGTGACTTGGGTGTGCAGTCAATTAAGCGTAGTACGAGTAGTTTCCAGCAACAGTGCAATGGGGCGTGAGCAAAAATAAAACAGTGTTTGGGTAAAAATAAAGTGGTGATGGAATGGGACACTGCTCCAGTTGTGGCTGCAAGGGCCCCGTCCGCTCTGATGACATCTCCATTCAAATATACACTCGAAAAAATGATATTTTCAACATTATTTGGTTTTTTAAACCTTTATTAGTTGCCGAGAACTACTAACTAATACCATGAATAAATATATAAAATAAATATATATATAACAGTTGAAGGCCAATTAAAAACTTTCAACAAACAAAGCAAACGTGAAAAAAAATTTTTTTTGTTAGGAACATTTTTAATTTTAAAACTTATTGACAAAGCATTTTTTTAATTGTGAAAAACTGGAATATGGTTTCACCTCCACCTCCTTAAACTATTATACTGATGTTTTTCTGCTAAATAAAAAAAAGTAAGTAAAGTAAAAAAATCGTTTCAGCTTTGCCTGCTTATCGGTATCTGGTCAACAACTATCCTTATCACACTGGTATAAACTTTAATTTAAAAAAATCATGCTAACATTTTTCCCCAGTGCACCGCTGCTGGCGAGGCCTAATCAGCTGGCCAATGATCACAGTGCCACATGTGTGAGTCATCCGTGATAAGAGAACCACTGTTTATCGGGCGTCTGCTGCACTGGAAACTTTCGCCGATCGACTCGACTCGTTGGTGATGGCGATGATGATGATGTCATTGGTGCAGTTGCAACGTCATTGGATGTGCAACGCGTGTGTGTGTAAGGGTTCATCAAACTGCCTGAAGAGTGTGCATGCCTGACGGCGATTAGCCAAAGTTTTTGACAAAAAGCGCGCAAGTGTCGCGGCAGACTTGGTGGCTTGCTGCACAGTGGGTGTCGTCGCTGGCCGAGTGAAAGTGGAACTCTGCTGCTAAAATTAACCACATGTATATGCAGTGCCCCACCCGACAGCCCCCATCTCCCCCCTCTTCCTCCCTCTCGCTGTCACAAGTGGCGCTGGCTTTTGTTGCTGTCTTAATTGCCGCTCGTTCTTCTTCTTCTACTCTGCACCTATGCCCCACTCCGTCGCCCATTTGTTGCTATTTTTTGCATTTCCATTCGAGTTAGTCAGACCGGGCGGCAGTTGCAGTAACCCGCATACCCTAGGTATTACGGGTATTATGATTCTTATCAGATGTGACATGTGCGTATTTCATTACCGTAAAATGGCGAAATGGATTTGCCTATTAAATACATAAAAACATATATGTATCTATTGTAACTAGGTAGCAATAAACATTGGTGAATGGTGAAGAGATCGGTCAGTTCTTATAACGGAAGCAACATTTCTTATCTTTAATGTTTTGTAGGTTACAAGTTGTAAGTTTTTTCAGGAAGATAACAAATTTCCGTCGCTTTCTTATCTTAAAAGTTTCTTCTATAACGGTTGTAAAGAAGATGCTGAACAAGGTGTCATTGGTAAATATGCGAATTTACATTATTTACACTGAGTAACTTGTTTATAGTTTTATAGCCGTATTTAAGTAACGCCTAATAAAAAGTTCCAGTGCCAGCAGGTAAGCTTATCCTTATCTTAGTCCTTTCGATAAATTTATCCAATGATCCAGCAGAACAAAAAACGACATTAAAACAAGATAAAATTACAAAAAGTTCTAAACCTTACTGAAATCTTTAAAAACATTTTTGTGTGGAGTTTTCTATAAGATATGACAGCTTAGTTCTCTTCCAATGACCATTTGAAGTATGCTTATCTACTTTGAAGCTTTACATTTTCTCAAAACTGCTAGGGTATGCAAACAGTGACTTCCCAGTTTTCTTAGAGTGACTGTGGCCAATTGGCATGTTTGTTAGTCGCCCAATCGGCGTTTATACGTGCGTCTGTTTTGCGATCGTGGCCAAACAGCTGTTGGCGGCATAGTAATCGCGACATTGGCTGACGCATAAACGCGATCGCCGGACATGCGAGTGTGTGTGAGTGAGTGTCGGCTTCATTCCAGTGCATTTCTCATATTTTTGTCACTAATTGGTGTTGGCTAAGTTTCGCTGCTTAACCCATTTGGGGAGCAACCGAAATAGCTGTGCGTGGGGGCGTATGCTGTGCGCTCTCTCGCTCGCTCGCACTTTCCATTCCAAGACGCCGCTGGAGGTCGCTTGTTTTTCACACTTGCTCTCGCTCGCACACACCAAATGAACCGTAATTCTGCGCTGGGGCCAACTGGAAGCCACGTTTGTGGCTGGCCAATATTCCGTATTTCAAATTTTGGCTCATTTTGGCGCCCTCGGCACGCTCTGCCCCCCGCCACGCCCCCCGCCACATCCAGTAACTTGTTGCTTCTGCCAGCAACAATTGGCACATTCTCTCGCTCCGCACCCGCTCTCCCTGCTCTCTCTCTCGCTCGCCCTCAGCGTAAACAAGTGAGAGCCGGAAAAGCCACACAAATTACAGCGAAATGCGAGGAAGGGAAAAAAGTAGGAAAAGAAATACACAAAAAAAACAATTAATACAATCAAGTGCGAAGCAACAAATTTGATTTCTTTCGCTCGTTTTTGCAACGTTTTTCGGCACTGGCGCTGCTTCGCTCTCTTTATTCCCTTTTTTGGGTGTTGGACTCATATAACACGGTGAGCGAGCGGGAGAGCAGATGGCTGAACTTTTATAGCGGTACTCTTCACATGCACTGCGTTCGCCGCTCCGCTCGCACAAGAAAGCACGCACACAAGCACACGCACGCCTCACTCGGCGCACACAGACGCGCACTCACACAGTCGCAGAGGCGGCTGTCGCACTTATTTTTTACCGTGATTTTTAATGATTTTGTAATACGCGCGTTTATTACTTAAGCGCCGCATTTGCATCGGCCACTCGCAACGTAGCTTGGAAAATGCCCAGCTGCCGCTGACACCAATCGGGAGTATTTATACTCGGCTAAAAAATCCGCCGTGATTCATTGCCCCACCGCTTTGACATTTAATGTGGCAGGCAGGCAGCGCATTGGAAAAGCGGCCGCAAGAAACGACACCAAAATACCACTACCACCACTCACTTTATTTATCACTCACTGGGGCCAGCGCATTCAGCGGGGGATTTCCACCAAAGATTTTGCACACGACTGGGAACTTAAGGCACTACTTCAAGACTTTTCAGTCAGCAGAAAGACGGGACGAGTACAAAATGCCGACGAGAGCGCGCAGAGCATCTAAGAGCAAGTTCGACACTGTTGTTCGAGGCGAGTTGTTGATATCAGCGCCGTTCGCGTTCACCGCGCCGCGTTCACCCGCGCAGAGTTGCCACCCGCGGGGGAGATAGCTAGAGTTGGCTAGGGTTCATTCCAGAGATGCTCGGGGGATTTATATTTGGGTTTATTTGGCGTTTTAGAATTTTTAACTTGTACATATCTTGAAACTATAATAAGTTGTCTTTAGCTTATTTTATTAACAAGTTTTGTAATTACTTCAAGTCAAGATTGGTTTTCTATTATATATTATAGTGTGCTATTTTTCTAAGCCCAAATATTTTAAAAAACTTCAAAAGGAAGAGAATATATTTCAAGAACCGATTTTCATCCAATTTGTTGAATATAATGCTAATTACAATATTGACATAATACTTATAAAATTTTCAATGATCCTTTTAGCTAATTAAAAACAAGCCAAAAAAGTTGGCAGCAATGCTATACAGCCCTCGCCTGCATCCCTGGTCGGAGTACGGCCACTTTAAACAGCTGACTGCGCGCCTCTCATTTGAATTTCCGATTGGCTTTCTTTCTGACCTGCAATTTCCCGCATTAAATTGGAATTTTTCCTTAGACGGCGATGCAACCCACCTTTCTCCGGCTCCATCAAGCAGCGCAACACCTCTCCCAGTGGGTATTCCAGCAGCAGTGCCACCGCGGCAGCCACAAATTGAGTGAGCAAGAAGACACTCAGCACGTTGCACAGCTGAAAGTGGGCTAAAATTAAGTAAGGCAACTTGCTACAATGAAAATTCTCACCAGGTAAAAGCTGGACACGTAGACCGGCTGCCTAAAATATCCCGCTACTATTCGCAGGATTACAATGTGCCAAAGAAAGGACTGAAATGAGATCCTTGCCAGCGGCCGGAAAACCGGCAAGGTGCAGAAATTATAGGCCACGCCTATCGGAGATTCGTGAGTAACATGAAACATTCATCAAAAAGTATTCTTCAACCCACCTCCCACCTTGCAGCACATGAGGAACACGAAACCCGAGCAAATCAGCACCCACAAGTTCTTGTGCAGACCGGCATACAAGGCCAACCAAAAAGAAGGCTTCTCAAAGTCGTGGCGGATGAAGATGTAGCCTGAGAAAAGGACTCCCAAAGTGGCCGCCACCAGCAGCCACATGGCCAGTTCGTACTTAAGAAGTCCCCGAAGCACTACTTTCCTGCAACGCTGCTCGAGGTAAAGATGTCCGCAGAGGAATCCGAATAGAAAGCCTCCTAAATTTGTGTAAAAGGGCGGATACATCTGGTAGAATGTGTCGGAATGCCGGAAGTACAAGTAGCGATAGGTCCTAGGGTTAAACACTTGTCAATATATGAGGAATCTTTCGAAACTTATAGTAACCCACTCTGGGCGCAGATGGTAGATAGCATCCAACTCAAGAATGTAAGTCAATATTGCAGGCACTGCTAAAGCGAGGGCCGAAATAGTTGTGTAGATCGTCTTTGTTAGCTTGGGATGCCTAAAAACACACAAGTTTTTCAAATATTCCAACAACAGAAAGGTATTTACTTTTTGGTTATAACAATCACGATCAGAAAAAGCTCAAATAGCTGCATATCCGCCCCCAAGTACCAAGTTTGATGGGAACACTAAAGGAAAAGTTGCTAAAATGTAATCTTATACAGAACCTATTGGTTCTCTAAGTAAAATCAGAACATACACTATCCTCCAGCATGTGATTGGTAACAAAGAACACGTTCTTCCACCAGTTGCTGCGGCAGAAAACCCGCTCGGCCTCGGTTAGATGCCGCCAGAAGGGTCCGTTTTGGAGCCGCACTAGCAGAGTTCCATTGAACAGGATGAGGGCGAGGAGCGAGGGCAGGAGTCTTAAGTATCTGTAGAAAAACACACGGAAGTACACGGCAATGCAATCGAGGGTGCCAGTCGTGGGTTGAATCAATTGGCGTTCGGTGAATTTCACATAGAGCAGAAAGCCACTCATTACGAAAAATATCTGAATAACCAGACTGCCGTTCTGGAATATCGAGGTCTCGAATCTGAACAAGAATTGCTCGTAGTACTCGGGATTCTCTATCGGCACCGTCATAAAGACCATTAGCGTGTGGCCCAAGATTACCACAAACACGCCGATCACGCGAAATCCGTCAAAGAAGCTCACGTCACGCGAGAAATCCGAATCAACCGATTGGGTCAGTCGATGGTAATTTCGAAGCACTGAAAAGGAGGTGAGGAGCTGCTCACCTGTTGGCAACCCAAATCAACGTATGAATGGCTGTTTTCCACAGATTTTATAAACTTACGACGACTATTTGGTGCCTCCCGATAGAAATTATCAGTCTGTTGTGGATTTTTCTTGCTCATTCGGTAGTCGTGGAAAGAGGAGCACAAAGTTAGAAGGACCATACAGATCAGCAGACCGTAAAACGTAAGATCAAGTCCATCTTTTATAGCAGTTATGTAAAGTTTTATCTATTAACTATTATTATCTGAAGTTACCAACTAAATAATCTTTTACTTACCTAGGTCCAATTGCTCATCTGCCGTCACACAATACTCAATGAGGCTGCGAACCCTTAAAGAAAACTTCTCAACGAACTCAAGATTAAGGCAGCTGTTGACCAACTCTTCGTAGAGGAGGCGCTCCTCTGAATCCCCTGATCGCCGGTGCACCTTGGCGTAGTAAGAGCGGAGTTCCTTGTCCAGGATATCTTCTTTCCCTTTCTCCCTCAAATTAGCAAAGTCAATTACACTTTGCTTACACCTCTCCAAACACACTCCTCTAAATACGCGATCATGTCGAAAGCGATGCTTGGAGTCCAGCGAAACCTCGTTGATTTGGTGCCACAAAGCAGAGCTAGCATTGGGTAAAATCTCCACATACACCAGGCAGTAGCTACCCGAGGGACTATCCAGGCAGAGATCGTAGTCATCCAGATAATGCAAGGCGGGCATTTGCCTGTAGAGGGTCACTGCATATGGAGCTCTTCCTAAATGATCTCTTCAATACAGAGCTCCCGCTACTTACGATTAAATGAGCCAGACAAAAAGTTCCCTTTCCCCAAAGGCAAAATCGTCAAAAGAACACAAATTTTCAGCCACATAATCATATTAGGAGTATCTCGCCTAGCACTTGAAGAACAACTATTGGGAATCTTTGCTCGATTTGCCATACTAATTCAGCGATAGCGTGCTAAGCCGTCAGGCCTGACTGCGCTTCCCAAAAGGTATTTCTATAAATTACTTCGACTTGACGAGATCACAACTATTAAGTGGCAGTCATTTATTATATTTTCATTGAACTTAAATTAGCTTCCTTGGCATCTTCAGATTGCCTAACCCAAGTGTCGACCAGCAAAGATCGGCAGATCAATATCAGACTTCACGTATAAAGCGAAGGGATGGTTAGCAATGAAGTGTTTGCGTCTGAAACCCGCCACGGGCATCACCCGGAATCCTAAAAGCGATGGAGAATTTTAGACAATTGCACTTTATTGTGGCTACATGCTTGGTTGGTTAGTACAAAAATAGTAAGTGTAAATATAAGATCATCGATTGTGCGCAGTCTCAAGCTTATTAAATTTGGTTTGCGATTATAGATTGGAGCTTTAGTGGCCTCCTTACCGAACCAGGACATCAATATACGACGAATGAAGATGAGACACCCGATTTGCATGGTTGATTAGTAGAAGGCACCCCGGATTATTTAAAGTTTCTGTATGCTGCCAGCGAAAAGAGTTGTCGAGTCCTTATTCAGGATGTAAAAGTTAAATGGATGGTCGACGTAGAATCGTTTCGGATCCGGCTCCGGCATGGGCATCGAACATAGCATCATGACCATTCCTGCGAATTGAGATGACAGCGGAATTCAGTTCAATGAACGAGACCATTGGCGGATTGTGAATGGAATGATGAATTAGAGCTTGAGGATTTTTCCCGCGAATAGAATTGTCGAGTCCTTATTGATTATGTAATAGTTAAATGGATGCACGACATGGAATCGGACGGGTTGCGGTTCGAACGAGAGCATCGTGGCGCGGCACATGACCATTCCTGTAAATGAACATCAAAGTCGGCGCTCAAGTGATTAAGAAACTTGAGTTAGTTTCAAGGCAGATGGTCATGCGGGTAATGTTTGGACAACTCTTACAAATGAAGCTGGTTAATGTCGTGATTGTTTTGATCCATTTCAGATTACCCCCAGGTATTAGAAACGTGCAGACATCTTCTTGTAAATTAAATAGCTGCCTTTATTGGTCTGACATAAAATAAGGTACCATCAGAGCTCATCGTGCTCGCTGTTGGCGGAGTCATTCTCCTCGAGCCGCACAACTGAGCCCCAAAACAGGGGCAGGTCCTCCTCATGGACAAGGGCATAGGTGAATGGATGATCGGCGAGGAACTCAATCGGTTCCTCGAGCGAGATAACAGAGCGCTTCATACGCACAACAGCGCCTGCGGGATGGTAAGAAGACAACACAGACACGGATGAACAAATGGGACATGCAGAGGATGATGGATGCCAAGAACTACTAAAGGATCACTTACCCGTGGCAGCCGCAGCCTCGGTTCCCTCTTCGTTCACATCGATAAAGGCCTTGTGTATGATGGCTGACACCTTCAGAGGCTCGGGACTCTGCAGCATCTTGCCGAATTCAGCTGCGTCGCTGAACATCTTTGACATGCCCAGCTGGAGAAAGGGGTTTTAGTTATATTTAATCCTTTATGTAGCTAAGACCAGGCTCACCTGCTGGAAAACGTCTGTCAACTCCACTTGGAACTCGGCCTTGAACTTGGGCAACTTCACCACCACCTGGGTTTTGTGCAGTGCCTGTGTGATCTGCGACAGAGCTGTGATGCGCAGCTTTTCCTCCAGAGCGGCCAGACCCGTCTTGCTGTTGGGCAGGACGATCAGCATGGAGAGGTCCGAGTCCTTGTAGGGCAGCTCGAGGGCCGTGGCGTCCAGCGCCGGCAGATCGGCATAGCGGAACCGCTCCTTCAAGCCCATCATCGGCACCTGGACGGAGCGCTTGTCGTCCAGGTGAAAGGTGTCCGGACGCGTGGCGTGCTTGGGGAACTGGTGCACCCAGGTGCCCTTGAAGTGAATGGCGTTCACCAGGACCAGTCGCGAATCGGCGTTCAGCACGCTGGGCGGAATCAGGTCCTTGATCAGGTGATTGGTGCGCTGCTCCACCCAACCGTTGATAGTGGCTGCCGCCTCGGTATTCTTGGCGAAGTTCACGCTCTGCGCCGCCGAGAGGAACTGCTTGGTTAACAACTCATCGAACTCCTGGCGCAGCGCATAGCCCGTCATCACGAAGATCTTGTTGGCAATGCGCAGGATCTGGCTGTTCTCGTAGGCGGCCAGCACCTGGTGGAAGCTCTGGGCGATTTGGCCGGCGTCGCTGGAGGCTAATCCAAGGCCGTGGTCCAACTCTGCGGCCGTCTCGCCCTCGGCGCCCAGGCGGGCCATCGCCGCACAGGTCTGGATGGAGAAGGGCGAGAAGACGATGTTCTCGCCGGGCTTCTGGGCCGTCAGCTTGCCGTAGACGTTGATGGAGAAGAGGGCCAGCCGGCGGGCGTACTCCTGGCGGGCGGCGTCGGTCATGGTGACGTCAGATGGGCGGACCAGCGGGCAGAGGGAAAGGGAGAGGGCTAGGAGAAGCGACCAGCAAGCTGTAAGTGCCCAAATCGACCGTGGATGAGTGGATGTGCTTGGTTTCATAAATTTATGTAATTGCAGTCGACCGATGAGTCACCTCCACGAATGTTCTGCGCTTTAGCTCTGGGATATGCCGTTTCGCCGGGGATTCACTGGGCTTCGCTTATCGGAAACGTATATTGGACAGCCTGCACCTGCTGATTCTCGACGAGCTTTCTCCAGCGGCTTCTATTTGGTATTTTCGATTTCTGTTCAAGCGGGTGCCGCCCTCGACTTTTATGAGGAGGTCTTTGAGCAACAACTGAATTTTCTCAACGAGCTCCCATTGTTTTTATGCCCGCATATCTATTGCCCCACAACAGCGTGCTCTCTTTGATTCACCTACCAAACGGGTTTTTCTCTTAGCTCTTAGTACTCTCTGTTTTGCTTTCTCTCTTTACATTTATATCATGTGGCACTCTCTGTTTCATTTATTTTCTATAGTCTTGTATGTCTGCTTATCGAATAACTTACCGTATAACCTTGTAGTATTCCCCATTTTTCAATTATTCTCGTTTTAATAATAATATTACTTGATCGCTGTGTAACCTATTGTTTGAAGCGTGCTTTATAGACTGACCTGACTTCAGGCCCACACTATTTACTGCGCCCTTATCAGCAAAGCTCCGCTTGAGCTTGTTTTTGTCTTCGACAATAATACAACTTTTTTTAGCACACTGATAACGTAAGAATGCTGAAACTCAAATTATTTTCCAGCTGAATGTGAATGTTGTTGAACCAGAGTGGTTCAGTTTTGTATTGTTTAACAATAGGATTGAGTTTATTGGGGTTACAGGTTACCCCTTTTTCCTGTCAAATTTTTAACCAATAGAGCTAAGTTGCTTTTATAATTAATAATTAATTTTTAACATAAGTTATTTAGTGGCATCCTTACTGACAATGTAAAAAGGTTCCACGAAAATGACTTTTGGAACTGGGGATGTCTACTTTACTAATAAAGAGTGTTTCTTATCTATTTCACAGACACCTCACATTCCTCAGGATTTGCATTCGTTGTTATAAGTACAGGCATCACATTTTTCCCGCTTTTCAAACTTCGTAGTGTTAAAGTGTCCGACAAAGAGAAGACCATGGGAGTTGTCATAGATCGCATAGAAAAAAGGTCTATTAGCATGAAACAACTTTGGAGGACGAGGCTTAGCAGTTGCGCTTCTAAATGTGGCAACCACAGCTGAAAGAAAGGATTCGAAATAAAAGTTCCAAAATTAATATTTTTTGAACCTATATTTTCCCTGGCTCACCTGTTGTGGCTGCAGCTTCTGTGCCAACTTCATTTACCTCGATGAAGGCCTTGTGTATGATCTTGGACACAAAAAGAGGTGCCTGGGACTTTAGCATAGCGCCAAACTCGGCCTGTTCGCTAAAAATACGTTTGATGTCCATCTGTGAGTAATCAGGAGGCAAATATATAACTAAAAACTAATCACTCGACGATTTCGACTCACCAGCTTAAACGTCTCTGATAGTTCCTGCTGGAATTCCGCTTTAAAACTAGGAATCTTGACATCAACTTGTTCCAGGTTCATAGAGGATGACAAATCTTGTAGAGAAGTGCGACTTAGTCTGCTTTCCAGGCTCGTGAGATTCGATTTCTCATCTGGCAGAATGAGGATCATGACCAGATTACAAGCACTATAGTTCATTTTGAGGGCAGTTGCTTGGAGCTTGGGAAGCGGGGCAAAGGAAAAGTTTCCGGTCACATGCATCATCCTCACTCTGACCGATTTACCGGACTGCAAGAAGAAATCCTCCTCTTGAGTGTCGTTTTCATTGAACTTGATTGACCAATTTCCTTTGAAGTGAATAGCATTGATAAGCAACAGCCGAGAGTCCTTGTCTAGAACTCCAGGGCTGATAATGTCCTTGATTAGGCCGTTGGTCTGCGACTCCATCCATTTGTTAATCATACTGGCAGCTTGATCGCTGCCAAAGTCAATCTCCATTGCTTTGGAGTGGAATTTCTTTTCCACAATGTTGCCAAACTGCCCGCCGATCTCGAGGCCCTTCATCAAATAAAGCCCGTTGACCATTTTAAGGACCTGACACTGTTCGTAGGACTTGAGCACAGTCTCGAAATTCTCCGCTACCTCCTGCACATCTTTCCCTCCGAAACGGAGACCCTCGTCCAACTCCTTGGCTGTAGCCGATCCCTCCGTGGCTCCCATCCGCAGCATGCCTACTGAGGTCCTCACGGATAGAGGAGAATAGCTGATATTCTGGCCAGGATTGGCCCGGCACAACTGGTCAAGCAGACAAAAGGCAAACTGTTCCAAGCCCTGGGCAAACTCCTCATCTTTCATGGTGAAGAAAAGCAGAAGAATTTATTTCAGCTTTGCAATTGAAGAGTCGGTGGCTACTCTTTTTTCGGAAACATAAGAGTAAATAATGGGAACTTGATTGATAAGACCCTATGATCGAGCAATTATTATAATAAGAAGCCAGATAAGCTATCGACCTGGCGGATATGCTGATAGGAAGCTTCTGTTCCAGCTGGCTAATCAGCAGGCTCTCTCAGCCAAGAGCACCTGCCACTCCAGACTCTCTTGGAATTTATCTAATCGAGGCACGGTTCGTTCAGTTCTGAGTCACTGCAATTCCGGGCGTTAGTCAGTTCCGCGCCGTTTGACAGACCTCACGCACCTTCCCCAGTTGCCTCCGTTTGGCTCTCTTTTCCGGTGTAAGTTATCAGCGAATAAATAGTTATCAATCAAAGACGCTCCTCACCTCTTTCACCGAGCCCAGCAGCTTATCAGAAATTATATTACCAGTTCCATGTAGTGCTTAATCTATCAGATTCCTGGTAGACTAGGTTATGGTAAGCCAAATGAGTAGTGTTTCATAGGAGAGAAAGAATGCACCACCCACTATACTGTTTTTTTTGAGATTTGTGCATTATGAGCGATAAGAAAATATAATATAAACATCAACAACTTTATCAGTTGACGTGTTTCCTTTTTTATCATTTAATTAGCTTTCGTGGCGTTTGTTATAAAGCCATTTTTAATGACGAAAGCAATTAGTGCCTGCCCATTTGTTTATTATACTTTTTCTTTTATGGAGTTGAATTGATTATAATTTGTGGAATATTTTTTCGGCAATAAAAAGTACACCGTAGTAGTTTGATTCGAAAACGTCATGAACGGTAGGCAGTATTTTTGTAAGCATTTGCAATTACTTCTGGTAAAGTAGAATAAGCACGGTACTGTTGAGTTTCTTATTCTAAAATATATTTTAAATTTTTTAAGAATTTTGTTTTCTATCTGCAGATCAAGATGAGCGACCCCCAGGAAAGTAGAAATCTGTTCTCCCGCAACCTGATAGACACCATTACCAAAGATGCCCTGCAGCAAAACAGAGATTCCCCAATAAACACGGTTTTCTCACCCGCTTCCGTCCAAAGTTGCTTGACCCTGGCCTTCATGGGAGCTTCAGGATCGACGGCCGAGGAGCTGAGGAATGGACTGCAACTTGGACCAGGAGATCGTCATCACATAGCCCGCTCCTTTGGGGAATTCTGGCGGACAAACTGCAATTATGGCGACCGAGGACCCGTTCTGAAGTCCGTGAATCGATTGTACGTGAACGATAGCCTGGAACTGCATCCGGAATTCAACGAGATTGCCGTTGACTTTTTCCAGTCGAAGGCGGAGGTTGCCAAGTTTGCCGATTCCGAAGGGGCAACGCAGCAGATCAACGAGTGGGTGGAACTGGAGACGGAGCACAAGATCACCAACCTGCTTCAGTCGGACGCCGTGAACGACGAGACCAGCGCCGTGCTCATCAACGCCCTGTACTTCAAGGGAAAGTGGCAGAAACCCTTTATGCCGGAGACCACCTCGCTAGACGCTTTCCACGTGGACCCGGACACGCGGGTGGAGGTGAACATGATGTACCAGGAGGACAAGTTCAGGTTCGCTGATTTACCACAGCTGAAAGCCCGGGCTGTCCAGCTCCCCTATGAATACTCTAACATCCATATGCTCATTCTGCTGCCCAACGAAATCTCCGGCTTGCAGGAGTTGGAACTGCAACTCAAGGATGTGGATCTAGCTGACATTGATGCGGCCATGATTCTGCAGGATGTGGAGATTTTTCTGCCCAGGATGGACATAGAGTACGACGTGGACCTCAAACAAATACTAAATCAGGTGAGAATTGGATTGGAATTGGTGGAGTGAAAAATATTAAAAGCGAATTTATTACGGAATTTTAAACTAGAGCCTATACTACACACAAAAAAAAGCATGTTTCCGTTAAATCAATATGGCCATGCAAACCCATGTCGTTTTTACATGAAACACTCTTTTCGACCACTTCAAATTTACCTGGCGCATATCAAATTAAAATTGATCTTAAATAATGTAAAATCTACGTTTCATATTGGTTTTTTTTGGGTTTATTTATTTATTTGTAATTTAATAATGCCTGTTACTAACTTTAACTGCTTATCAATAGCTGGGCATTGCGGAAGTCTTCAGCGATAATGCCAAGCTGGACGGCCTCTTCACCTCGAAAACTGGCCAAAAGATCTCGGCGGCGAAGCACCGTGGCTACATCAACGTAAACGAGGCGGGATCAGAGGCAGCAGCCGTCACTTGTAAGTAGAATCCGCTACTCCCAACGTTCCCATACTGATTCTAACACCCACTTGCAGTCATGAAGATCGTACCCATGATGCTGAACATGAACAAGAAGCTCTTCAAAGTGGACCACCCGTTTGTGTTCTACATTCGCAACTCGCAGGCCGTCTTCTTTGCCGGGAGATACTCGAACCCCAGGTCTGGATTAAAAGAGGAGGGTGCCTCGAGGGAAGGTTCCAATGCCAGCATGTACAATGTCCCAGAACAGCAGTGAGACCAAATAAAACTCAGCTAGGAAATCCCCACTAGTAGTCATTGAATTTCAATCTAAGAGAGCTGTGTGCGCAGTTCGCGGCACTTGCGAAAGTGCATATATAAGCTCGACTTGGCACTCTCCGCTCAGTTTACAGAGATACTTATCTCGGGGACCAGTTCGTCGGAGGCGGTCAAATGTATTACTTGTGTAAGTGGCGATCGCTGGAAGCCAGTGAAATAAATTGTTGGGAAAACCAAATCGTTTGGTTATAAATTATAATTTTTGATTTTAATTGATACGTGATATTTATCATATTAATTAACAAGTTGGAATAAATATCGAGCTTTTATTCTCGAGGCATTTTTTTTACCTTGTGTGAAACTAAGTGGGAATTGATATTTGTTTTCCTTGCCATAGTCCTCATTCTGTGGGCCACTTCTGTGGCCTGCCAGGCCTCCGAGGAGATCTACCAGCTGCTGGCCAAGAGCCATGCCAACCAGAACCTCATCGTCTCGCCAGTTTCCATAGAGGTAATCCTCAGCATGGTCTACATGGGTGCAGGAGGGTCGACGGCGCAGGAGCTGCAAAGTGCCCTGAGATTGCCTTCCGGGGACAAGCAGGCGGTGGCCACCAAATACGCGGAACTCCTCAACCAACTTCAGGGTCAGGAGAAGGAGCAGGGAGCCACACTGAAGCTGGCCAACCGCATCTACGTGAACGATCAGTACGGCCTGCAAGAGGATTACAATCTGGCTGTGCGGGAACCCTTCAAGGCCGAGGCGGAGTCCATTAGTCTGGCAAATGGCCCCCTGGCTGCTGGGCGAATCAACCAGTGGGTGCTCAGCCAAACGGGTGGCAAGATCAAGGACATGATCGATCCCGGCAGCATGACGTCCGATGTCAAGGCCCTGCTGGTCAACGCCATCTACTTCAAGGGCCAGTGGGAGTCCAAGTTTGAGCCAGATAAAACGAGATCCTCCACCTTCCAAGTGTCCGCCGACCAGAATGTCACTGTCCCAATGATGATGCAGATGGGGACTTTCAGGGCCAACTACTTCCGAGACCTGGACGCACAAGTCATCGAGCTGCCGTACCAGAACTCCAACCTGTCCATGACCATCTTCCTGCCCCGCGATGTTGGAGGCCTGAGCGCGCTGGAGGAGAAGATCTCTGGATTCGCCCGGCCGCTGGAGGCCAATGAGGTGTATGTGAAGCTGCCCAGGTTCAAAATCGAGTTTCGAGACGAACTTAAAGAGACCTTAGAGAAGGTAAGTCGGTTGTACAACAAAAAATATCTGGTTTTGCTACTCTAGAATTCCATTGCAGCTGGGCATCCGAGAGCTTTTCACCGACAACTCTGATTTAGGTGGCTTGTTCGCCGATAAGTCAGGCGGAAAAGTCAGCCAAGTCTCGCACAAGGCGTTCCTGGAGGTGAACGAGGAGGGGGCAGAGGCCGCGGCTGCCACATGTGAGTAGAGATTCGGTTATCGTTACTACGTACTATATACTCACTGTTTACGCTAATCCCCAGCTGTTTCCGTCACGAATCGAGCCGGCTTTTCTATGTTCTTCGTCGCCGATCATCCCTTCGCCTTCGTCATTCGCGATCCGAACACCATATACTTCCAGGGCCATGTTGTCAGTCCTTAAATAAATGGAAAAAACTAAAGTGCTGACTTGTATTATAAAGCATGTTGATTAAGCCTTAGGCTACTCTCACAATTTAAATTGCTAATAGCAATTTGATTTTCCCAATTAGATTGTTAGTGATTGTGTGTTGATCAAATCTATTCAATGGGTGACTAACAAATGATTAATCTTAGAAAACAGAGGAAAACAAATTAATCATGAAATCAAGTGCTATGAATCAAACCGATGCTCAAATGGGATGCTTAGAAATTTGATATTCTTTTATAAAAACTAATATGTTGCTGGGACTAAGGCTTAGTACTCAACCCAACAAAAAGTCGTCCAAAACAAAAAACTTCATATGAAAAACAACGTCAAAAAATTTTGTTTCATATGAAGTTTTTGTTTTGGACGACTTTTTGTTGGGTTGAGTACTAGCCCTAACAGAAGAAAAGTTCATACTGGCAACATTGCATTGTTTCAAAGTGTTTATTTATTTGTTAAAATGTCAAATGTTAAGTCAACTTTAGGTTTTTCACATCTCCATTTCGCTTGATCGCACTGTCGGTAGCATACCCACTCTATGCGCTCTCCAAACTTCCATATCCATATCGAGTAGTTCTTTCCCGCTTAATCTCCCCCAGGTCTTCAGTCCGCTTTTTAGACCTCTAATTATAGTGCATACGGACTCGAAGAAGATACTTATTTTAACAATAAAGAGTATTTTCATAGTCTGCTGTTAAGGGAAAATATTCTTCCCCGACAGATTGAAAATTAAAACCTTAAATAAATTTCAACGTTAAAGCATTTCTTCGTCGCCTATCATTTTTATAGAACTTTTAGCTTTATACGTTGTCATGACTGTGAAAGGTCAAAAAATATTGTTCTTGATTAACAGATACGGAGGAAAAACCCCCATCATGAACTTTACCATTTGTATAAATTTATTGTTTTGGAAAAACCACGAGAGTGTAAACCACAGAGAAACCACAATTTTAATCAACTACACTAGTTTATGTAAAGTTAAAAGAAACCACTATTTTAATCAATTACACTAGTTTATGTAATTGATTAAAATAGTTTATGTAATTGATTAAAATAGTGGTTTCTTTTAACTTTTAATTTAAAAATCGAATGCAAATTCTTTTGAATTCGATTTTCATTTTAGCTTAATAAAAAGAAAAAAGTTTGAAGAAGAAATATTGAACACCGCCATGTAGGGGTCTTGAACTATTTTGGGACACATTTATCTTGGGCGGCATCTTTTGAACTATTCCTATTGAAATACGTTGGTTGAGTTTAGGGCGATGCAGTAAAAAACACTTTGATGTATCTTATTCAATTAACAAATATTTCCACAAATAGTGCTCTTGTGGGGCCCAAACAAAATTCAGTTCTCTGTGGAAAGCAGAAGGCCTCGCACCGCTCGATAAACCCACACAGTCTTTTGAATCCATTGGATTTAGCTGTAAGTATTGACAAATCCTATGCAGTCATCTATGCATTTGTATTTTTTTTGTTTGCTGATATACTGAATAGAATATTTTTAGTTAATAAACCATTCTTTCACTTTCGAAGTGATTTCCGCAGAGAGAAATATTTTTAATTGTAAACAAAATGACATCACTGTTTGTCAACAACTGCGAGTATATCGGATAGTAAGAGTGCTGAGAATGGCCACAAATGAAGAGAGCACAGTAAAGAGAGCTGTGGGTGAAATACTTGCTCTTAATCTTATTCCTAATTTTAATGGGGTTTAGTCACGATATGGGGAAATGGAAATTATAACTTTGTCAGTGCGACTATTGCTCATTAAAACAGTGCTTTAGTTTACATTGGATTGTAAAGGTAACTAATTAAAACTTTAATTAAAGTCGTAATATTAAGAATAAATAAAAATATTAATATTAAATATTAATCTTATTTACTAAGAAAGCACAGAAACTGTGTTCGAAAAAATTCAATACTAATTATAACAAGGATTAGATGGGGAAATAAAGCAACTATCTAAAAAAAAATGTGTGGTTGCGGTATTTTAATTCTAATACTTCTAATTAAGAACTTTATAGTACACTTAAGCCAACTTTGTGGTACTAAAACTTTACCCAGGAATTGTGGTTTTATTTATCGAAAAAACCAAATATCTTTCCTACGTATTAAATCATAATAAAAAAAGAAAGAATAGGAGAAACCAGTTGTGGGTTATGGGAATTACAGCAGAACACAGAAATAAAATTCATATAAAACCTGTCTGAGCTCAGTTAACAATCTAACCGCAGTTCAAACAAAAAATCGGAATAGTTCAGTTCGTGTCATCATGTCAGGTAGGAAAGATGCTCCCATTTCGCCCTTTTCTAATTTTTTGGTTATTCTTTTTCCCCGTCCACTTGTCCTGCAGTCAAGGCCACGTGTTCACTTTTGCTGCTCCAGGGCTTGATTCTGGCCATGGCCAACACTGTTAACTACTCCGAACGAGCTGCCGGGGAGGCCCAGTTTGCCTCGAGGCTTTATGGCCAGCTGGCCAAGTCCGAGCCAGGACGGAATATCGTCCTCTCACCCTCGTCCATTAGGACGGGCTTGGCTCTGGCCTACTTGGGCGCCGAGGGCAGCACCGCCGACGAGCTGAAGCAGGGATTGGGCCTGGAGGGGGCCGACAAATCGGAGGTAGCCCAGAAATTCGCCCAGCTGTTGGCGAAAGGACAGGGGGACGAGGATGGACCCAAATTGAAGTATGCCAATCGGATTTACGTGGCTCAGAGATTTCAGCTGGCCCAAGCCTATCAGGACTTGGTCAGCAAAAACTTTGCAGCAGCTGCCGAGAATGTGGACTTCGCCCAGAGTGCCGATACTGCCAAGCGCATTAACTCCTGGGTGGAGGAGCAGACCCATCAGCAAATCAAGAACCTCATCGGTCCGGACTCCCTCGACGAAGATACGGCTGCCATTCTGGTCAATTCCATCTACTTTAAGGCCGACTGGCAGAGCAGCTTCCCCGACTACGCCACCTTTGGCCGCGACTTTGTCAATCACGGAGGTCAGAAGGTCAGCGTGGACACCATGTCCCAAGAGGATTACTTCAGGTTCGGCGAGCTGCCGCAGTTAAAGGCTAAGGCCCTGGAATTGCCGTACACCGGGACAGATATAGTCTTCCTTATCATTCTGCCCCAGGAGGAGCAGGGATTGGCCTTCGTTGAGGAGAAGCTGAAGGGTCTGGACCTCAATGAAATAAGCTCCCAGTTGAGCAGGCAAAAAGTACAGGTGCAGCTGCCCAAGTTCAAATTCGAGTTCGATGTACCCCTGCAGCCGGCCCTCGAGGAGGTGAGTTTTCTATAGTATTCGTGAGAAAAATATTTATATCATTTTAAAATATTAGCCCAGTTAGCACCCAACTATAATAACCCAACTATAATTAATAAATTGAATACTCTATTGAATCAAAAGAAATGATAATGAAATTGAGAAAGTTAGTCATAAGTAGGAACATTTCATATATTTTTTTAAACTTTTAATAATTTTGGAATTGTTTTTATAATCTCTCTTCGGGGTTTCAAACTCTTTAGCATTTTAAATGACTCTTTACTGAAAATATTCCAAAATAATTAGTCCTAAAAAAAAAACCATTTGAAAATCGTAGACATCAATCCTTTCTTCAAGGAATTTATCCAATGGCCAATGTATGTGTTTAAAAATAAAAAAAATTTTAGTTGTGTGGACTTTGTCTTCTTAAGAAAGTATACAGGAAATAACCTTAAATTGTTGTATCCTTCCAGCTGGGAATAAAGAAACTATTTGCTCCCGAGGCGAACCTCAGCAGTCTACTTCAGACATCGGAACCACTTCGGATCTCGGAGGTGAAGCACAAGGCCATCATCGAGGTGAACGAGAAGGGAACTACTGCTAGTGGAACTACCTGTGAGTTATCCTAGAAAAATAACAAAGGAACATTTGTAATTGTTTTTTTTTTATTACACAGGAACACAAAATTAAACTTTGTGAAATTTCCACGAACCATTTCAAGTTTTCCATGATATTTGGATGCTCCTGAGTAAAAGTCCCATACAAAATTATTTTCCATCACCTACAGGTTCCGCGGTATAGCTAAGAATACAAAAAACCGATGTTTGCCGACATTTTGAATTACGTGGCCTATATAATTGGACTAACCTTTATTATTTTCGGTAGGACCAACTCTCAATACATCACGGCATTCCTAGAAAATAGTCCCCATTGTGAAGCATTGCCCATGTCTTTGGAATTCGACGCCAAAGTTGAAAATCCCAAAATTGTAGAGCTTTTTCTGATGGAAAAACAATTCTGAGGTTTAAATTTTAAATGGAAGTAATTTTAACTATTCGTTGTATCTATTGTTCATTGTATGCTTTAATTTCGGTTTAAAGCGTTTTCATGAGGACATTTTATTGGATTTCTTATACTAATAAAACCGATTTTTTTATTTCATTATCTACTCCTAAATGTTGTCAAATTTCGAATAAGTCATGGCAACCTCTAGAACTAAGAAACTAAAATACGTTCACTGAACATACATAAAGAAATGTAAATGTTTACTCCCATTCTGTAGGATGCCTTGACTTTTTTAAAATTTGACAACATTTAGGAGTAGATAATAAAATAAAAAAAAAGGTTTTATTAGTATAAGAAATCCAATAAAATGTCCTCATGAAAACGCTTTAAACCGAAATTAAAGCATACAATGAACAATAGATACAACGAATAGTTAAAATTACTTCCATTTAAAATTTAAACCTCAGAATTGTTTTTCCATCAGAAAAAGCTCTACAATTTTGGGATTTTCAACTTTGGCGTCGAATTCCAAAGACATGGGCAATGCTTCACAATGGGGACTATTTTCTAGGAATGCCGTGATGTATTGAGAGTTGGTCCTACCGAAAATAATAAAGGTTAGTCCAATTATATAGGCCACGTAATTCAAAATGTCGGCAAACATCGGTTTTTTGTATTCTTAGCTATACCGCGGAACCTGTAGGTGATGGAAAATAATTTTGTATGGGACTTTTACTCAGGAGCACCCAAATATCATGGAAAACTTGAAATGGTTCGTGGAAATTTTTGGCTGTGTACCTGTGTTATCAGTTGTCAAGGCCCAGGTGGAATCTCTCTTGGAAGGAGAGCAAGTATTCGAGTTTATTGCGGATCATCCCTTTTTCTTCGCCATCAAGGACGCACAGAGCACCTACTTCCTGGGCCATGTCAGCCAACTTTGAGTCGGAGTTGTGCGATAAGTTGTGCCCTCCCTAAAACTGAAACCTGAAACCCAATATGTTGTTCTGTCAGCATCCAATAAATGCCAATTTTCGATGTCAAGAGCAGGGACACGAGTACCGACAGGTATGTCAACCTTGTTGGTTGATTAGTTGGGGTTGCATAATGCTGTTGGCCTGGCTGGTTGCTGGTTGCCCTTTGCTACTTGTTTGTAATTAGAGCCATCCGAGAGTTGCAGTTGACATTGATAGTTTATTAAGGGCCTCCGAACCTCCAATACTGCAATCCTTCGACTTTGGACGAGTGCCAGGCTGTTTGGCAGTCCTGTATCAGTCTCCTGATTCTGTGTGTGTGTGCAGCGGGCAATAAATCAAAGTTAGTATAGCTATCAATCCATGACACAACGGCGGACAAAAAGAGTCGAGAGCGAAGAAGAACTGGCAATTTGAATGCCAGTGGTAAGTGGCCAAAGTCCAAGCACACACACATAGACAGAGAAGGACCTGCGGAGACAGGGACACGCACATGGCCAAAAGTCAACAACTGTGTTGGCAATTTGCTGCAATCATCCAACAACACATCCTCTGGCTCCTGTTCGTCCTTCCGTTTCCCAGGAGCCAATGTTTATGAGTGCAGCTAAATTGTTGTTCTCTGTGTGTTCGCCTGCTTTTTTCCTGGTCTCCTTTTCGGCGAGGATTTTCCAGACCCTTGACCGATGACGGCCCACAAACATTTAGCCCACAAATACCCCACACTTGAGTTCCCCTTGTGGCGGATATTTGCATATTTCTAAACAGGTGTAAATTAATTTTGACAAATTTTTGCGGCTGCCAGAGTGTGTCCTTGTGATATCCTGGCCACCCTCGGTAGCAGTTTTAATAACGTTTTGTGACATTTACATCCATACCTGTGATATCACAAGGCCTGGTCATGATGCCGGCCCATTATTCAGGTTTATTGTCGCTGAAATGATGCAGTTGACTGGGATGTGAAACAATTAGTGCTAGATTTACGCACGTGTAAAACATTTTAATTAAATCCGTGCTGACGTGCCGCTTGGCTTTCCACTCGAACCCGACAATTCTCATGAATTTCGTTACACTTTCGAAGGTTAGGCTGTGTTGGGTGTCCCGCTTGGCTCCAGCACTAATTGGTGGCCAGGGCGATGCCAAAAGTTCGGCTGCGTTGTCACGGGCGACGCTCAAGTTTCCGTCAGCAAATTGAAATCGAAATGACAACACAACCAGGAGCTGAAAAAGCATCAACCGCATTGGGAGATTGGGAGAGAAGCAAAGGAAATGCAACTCGCGCATCTGAAAATTCGAAATTTCATGACAAGTGCCGTCCTGAAGGTCGTATCTGTGGGCAGGTGGTTGGGTTGGAATAGTAAGTGGGAGGTGGGTGGCTCTGAGCTCCACACGCTTCGCTGGGCACTCGCTTGCCACCTCCACCTTCTTCTTTACCTTCACGTGGGCATTTTCCTATCCCTGCCACTGACAGCTCTTTGCATCATTTTGCAAATTGGCAGAGAATGTTTGATCTGCTCGCCACCTATCAGGTTGACTCAATTTACCATTATTACTCCAATTTTGCAGCCAGGACTTTATCAAATATAGCTTTTTTAAGTCTTTAATAATATGGTGCTTCTTATAGTAGCAGAGTATCTGATAGTCGAGAAAGCTATACTGTCTTGCTTAAGAATCAAATCAGAGACCTATAAAAATAAATATAATATTTATAAATTTTTTTTACCTTTTTATTTAGTTTGCATTTAAGTTGTATGAACTATGGCGACCCTTTGAGTTCCGGATGTAATATATTCATTGCCTTTTCCTATGCCAACCTCACGTTGGTACCTCTCCCCAGGTGGCTGGGGGTCCAAATGATTATTTTGCATCCGCAGTGTGCAGCAGACAATTGTAGGGGCAAAACTGTAATTGTAACTCACTTTTAAGTGCGTCTGACAACTTTGGTAATTAAGGAATTATGTCATGCGCACGTTTGCCATTCAAACGAGCTGCTGTTGTGGGTGGTAGAGCATTTTTTGATTGCACTGGTTGCCTTGGTTTTCCCGTGTCACATTCTCTGTTCTGTGAATATTGCATTTTTGCAATTGGCATTTAATTCCGAAAGTTGCTAAGTTGCATATTGTGTTTATGCACGCTGCACTCCCATTGAAAAGGATCCCCATTGTTGGCGACCAGAGAGTCAGAGGTGCCAGCAGACTAGTTGCAAATATATGTATGAACACCGCGACCCTGGGCGAACAAGGTGTTTGAAAGTTTACACTTTTCCAGGTTGGGGGTGGCCACAAAAATGATAATAAAATCCCAGCTCGCTCCAATGGACACTCGCCACAATTTAGCACTCCCCCGCAAAAAGGGAGAAGGTCAGTGAAAGGGATGTTCTGGAGAACAACAAGCTAACGCTCTTCACAGTGACAGCAGCTGCCAATGTGCGTATCTGGCCGAGGCAGGTTAATGAAATACTTGGTCAAAAGGCCTCATGTCCCGTCCTTCAGGCTACCAAACACACGACACGACGAGCAGGATGTCCCTTTTATTTGCCTTTCAACCCGAAGCAAGGTAAAGTGCAAAACTTGGTTAACACTTTGAATTTAATACATGCTATTGAATATTAACGAGCTGAATCGCCTCCAGAATGGGCAGTAAACTCGGCATGGCCGACAATTATCGAGTATACGCCCTGTGGCTCGGCCCAGGTGCTCGTTGGTTGCCTTTTGGCAGCCAGTGCGGATAATTAACATTTGTATGTCAATATTTGCACAGGCAGCCTCGGGCATCTAAATGAAAATCTCTGCCATTTGCCACTCATCAGATTTAATTCCCATTTGAGGTGCGTGTCCGAACAATTGGTCTTTTAGTGTTTTCTGCTCGGGGGGAAATTAGTGCTTGAATGTGACAGCTATTTGGATTTTGATGGCATCTGTGGGTTTGCTGGAAACGGAACCGGAATCAAAACAGGCTATGTGCATTTGAAGTTTCTCGTTCAAAAACATATTTGACCAATAATTAGATGCCAATTTCAAAGTCCCCAAAATATTCTTGAGGGCGTCAGTTCAAAATTGAACTGTCAGAGGAATTATTACCAACGGACCGCAGTTGACAATGCCGGAGGGGCGAACTCGCAACCTTTCCAGTGCGTTCGAGGGGTAATCCTGCGAAAGCTCAGGTTCAGAACCCGGGTAATCCCGCGAAGGAACTCAGCTTTGTCCTGCCGACGCCTGCGTCCTGAGACCCTGGAACGTTTGTTTTGGTCGCAACCGCAACCTGCAACACGTTGTGTTTTGAATGCTTTGGCGGCAAACACTCGTGGGCCCGTTGGCCCTATAAAAGCCACTTCCCGTGCTGTTGGCCAAACAGTTCCCAGCTTGATAGCAACGCACGCGCTTCTCAACGGAAAACGAAAAACGGAGACTCAAACGGCGGCTCATAACTTTGAATAAAGTGTCAGGAGCGACGGTTACTTTTGTAGTAACATCGCTTGTCGGTTGTCTCGCTTTTCCGAGTGACTGTGGCTTTTCGTGTGCGGGTGATTCCCGAGAACATAAATCAGAAATTTAATCAATCTCACGTGCCGACTTGCAGTTACCCCACACACACACACATACAGAAACACGCCGTTTCGAGGCTATTCCGGAGTGATTAAGTATACGCCAGGTAAGCCAGTCTTGCTAGCTGGACACTGAGCAAATCCCAGTGACCTAGTAAGAGTTGGGGAAGGAAAATTCGTGCGGTCATTCGGAATGCGTCCATCCTGGTCGGCCAGCTCCTGCATTTTATGGCCACATAAAGGCGTAAACAGGGCCAGAAAAACAAAGCACGTACTGAGTGCAAGTGCAGAAGTAAAGACTTTAAAGTGCCTGCCAACGGGGACAAGTTACGATTATGGCGGAAAATTCAAATTTTTCGCCAGCTATCCTGCCGAAGCCGAAACCGCGTTCCTGCTCCTCCTTCGGTATCCCTTGGCATGGGGTCTTCGATATCCAATTTTAACGGCAGCATTCGCTGGCATAATAAAAATTTATCGTAAGCGCATTAAATTTGTAGCTGCCGCAAGTTTCGCCCCGCCCTCCCCCTTTTTTTTTTGAGGTGTAGAGACAAAGAGTCCTTGCAGCAGTTAACATGTCTAAGTAAGCTCTAAGTTGCCTTTAGATCTGCCTTTTGTGTGTCCCGGTCCGGGGAGGATGGGCGGATGAGAGCTGTGCCATGTTGTGCATTTTTATTACGATTACACAGCTCGCACATGGCTGAAATGGCACTGTCGCCCACTGGGTGGCTGGCATCCCCTAGGAAACCCTAGGAAATCTCCCCGTCATAAATTCTAAATTTGTCAAATAAATAGAAGGTGGAAAAAGCACCCGATACTCGGCAATACTCAATCCATTTTTGCACTGGTTTTGTGGGTCCGTAATCGGATTTTACCATGTTTTTCAATCCCATCAGAAGACTGCTTCATGCGGATTTTACTTTTATTCTTTACCATTTCGATACTTTGCTTATTAATGGACTCCCTTGGCTGAAAGGGGATTTTAGACGATTTAAGCCACACTAGTCCAGTGTGTGGAATAAGTCGTGTTTGAAATCTTGTAACCAATTTCAATGGTTCTAATCACAGTTTGCTTGGTATAGAATAAAAAATTTTAAGTTTTAAAAAATTTTAAAATTTTTAAAAAGTAACTATTGTTTTCATGGTTGTTAGCCAAATTAAAAAGTAATAATAAAGAAATAAAACAAAATCAAAACAGCCATTTAAAAAATAATTTGAATTTATAATTATAATTTTCGGTCCTGAAAAAATGTAGAAATTACGTTGTTCACCGGAATAAGAATTTAATTTCCTTAAACTTTTCTATTTATTTCAAAAGCAATCGCATAAAAAATCTGTGAAAAAAACATTAAACCAAAACCCGAATGTTAAATAAAGGCAGCATTTAATTTGCTAAGTCAAGGTCCTTTCCGAAGAAATAACAACCCCGGTCTTTTATC